CAAGTACATCGGAGGGTAATGTAAGAGTTTTAATAAATCGATCTAGTGCAAGGGCAGACACACAATGGATCATAGTAAGCTTTTACAAATCAACTGTAGAAGTATTAAGGTATCTGAAAAGTGCTGCGATTCTGATGAAATCTTGAAAATAATTTAATTATATCTATATTCAATGCCGTTTACCAGCAAAAAATACAGCATGCCGTCATACAAATACGATTTTAACAATGAAATAGCAGAATCTATATAGGACCGTAGCACTTTTCAGAAACTACAATGCGTGTTAAAAATATATATATACTAAACTTAGAATTTTAACTTGGTTATGCCCTTGCACTAGTGAAATTCATAGGTGAACTCAATACGGCAAGTAAATGTGCTAAAATCACTTGACTGTCTCATCACGTGACAAGTCTAAATATAAAATCTATTCGTCCTCAATATGTAGTTATTATCCATAATTGCATTTGTCCTATATAAATAATGTACTAAAAATAATCGCCATCCTGATTATGAATACATTTTTAATCACAAAAATTTGTCGATATTTCCATTGCGCACCTTAACTGTACTGCGTTGGTTTAAAAATTGATGGTTCTCAAAGGATGCTGTTAAATATCAAATAACTTGGGAAACACCATACGCAGATGATGAGGGAATATTACTGCATAAAGAAGGAAAGTTGACGATGGAAAAGCTGAATGCAACTCGTTTGTTAAACAAAGTAGTTGTTAATTGGCCTTTGTCGTCTATAGTTAGTCAGTAAAACATCCAAATATGATACATTATGTGGTAGACTTTGTGTTGTCTTTTATTTCAAATTCACTAAGATATACAGAGTCGCCTTTTGAATGGAAATAACTATTGTTAATTAAAAAACCGCCGTCGATATATCTCAATGTCGAGTTGAAAGCCAAAACATGTAGAACTTTATGAATAAATTTTGCTTCATAGGAATATAAAACAGGTCGTCTTAAAAACGAGCATAATTAGTGCCCATCGTAATTCCAACAATTTGTTGGAAGACCTGGTCACCGAAGACTATATAAATGTTGTCAATGAGAAACCCCAGAATCCTTTTAACTTTAGGGTACTTGTGTATAGATTCATGGTGATTTTGAACAAAGTAATTATGTTGATGACCAATCATAACAATCGAAAATTTCTAAGCTCCTTTGTTTGTAGGGATTTTTCTGAAGTTAAGGAATACAGTATAGGTAGGGAAGATTAAACTCGTCTTGTTTGAATGTTAAAAGTATTAATAAGATTTGATTTTGAAGTTAGAAAGTGTACTGTGAGTATAAGTTGGATTTCCAGACGTAGAATTAAAACCAAATTCTTCTAAAGTACAGTTATAACAATGAGCAAACAAACAAAGACGATAGTCTCACGAGCCTTGTCTGCTTAAATGAATTCATATTGATCATGTAGTTTTTGTAACTTTTTTCAACACCTCCGATTTAGTGAAAAACGAAAGGGCAGATTAACGACGAAGGACCTAATTAATTTCTGCAATAGATTTTTTTATTCAAATCTTAATATGAGGTAAAGTGACTTTTGGTGAGTTAAAATCAATAAAAAAAAATCATATGGTCATCGAAGTAGATTTTCAATAGGGAACGTTTCAAAAGTTGGCGATGGAAATCGATAATTACTATAGGAAGTTATGGGAAACTGCCATTGAAAAAAATTCTGCAATAGAATTTTTATTCATATTAAAGGAAAATGTTAAGTAGACAATTTACCAGCAAATTATGCCAAAAAATAAATGGGTCATCGGTTTAGATTTTTCAGGGGGGGGGGGGGGAGCATGTCAAACGCAGGTATAGGGCACATTTTGGGGGAAATTTTCAATGAAAAAACCTTGGCCAAATAAATAATTTATTTATAAAATTAACAAATGAATATAAATCGAAATATTTACAATATTTTTGAATTGAGAGGAAACGTTTGAATATCTTTAAAAGAATTAAAAATGTATATTTTTTATCTTTTGAAATACATAATTAAGTCAATTTGATTCAAGGCATATGCGCGGTTTTCTGCGCAGAGGCTCGAAATTTCGAATTAGGTTCATCGTAAGTTATTACAGCAGTTGAGATGAAACTTTTGTCTACAATGTTAGCAACGACCGAGAAAATCTGTCTTGACTACTATTCAGATCTTAAAATCAAGAGTACTGTAGCTTGAGTCTGGTCCATGTGTGAAGCCAAACGAGTTACACGTTTAGTCTATTTAAAGTCAGCAATTCCACATAACAAAATCCTCCAACATGTTCATGTTCTTCTTCACCCTACAACTATAGCCCTGCTGGCCACGTCATTACCGGTGACGTAAATAAAGTTAATAATGAGAAACCTAAATCACTTATTTTATAATGGACAAAATTAAGGGAACCCCGTCATATTTTCATAAGTATTATGAATTCTGTGGAAGATTACGCCAGGCAATGTGTCAAATATGAAAGAGAAGATCTTGTCATTTCGTCAGAATAAATTAAAAGTATCAGGTGGATGTTAAAATCTCACATTAAGTAATTAAATGGCAATCTATCCTTCTGTCTTCAATAATTCAGAAGTGAAAAAAGAAATAGACAGCTTACACGATAAGTATGTACTGGTCCCAGCAAACAAAGCAGGAAACAACATTGTCTTTGTTTGTAAGGCTCATTGTTTTAATTGTAGTTTAGAGGAACTGGGATTTAATTCTGCAAGTGGTAATCCATCTTATACCCATAGTTCCCTTTCTAAGGAAGTTCTTCAAAATCATATGTCAGTTTTAATTATTTTTTGATATCCCCAACAATCAAAATGAATTTTAACTTTTTTTTCAATATATAAAATAGTACTAGTAGATTTACTTACCTTGTCACTGGTCATTTGCAAAATTATTTTGTTTAAAACACTTTGATTGTACACACAAGTACTCTGAAGTTGCTATTAAATAGATGCTTGAGTTTCTGATTGACAATATCTATGTAGTGTTTGGAGATCTGATCTTCCAACAATTTATTGGAATTCCCATGGTACCAATTGCGCCCCCTTATCAGCAGACCTATTTTTGTATTCATATGAAGTGGAATTTATTCAAAATCTTAAACATGAGAAGAAGAAAACACTTGCTATGGCCTTCAACTCGACATTGAGATTTATGTACGACGTACTATCAATAAACAATAGTTACATCCAATCATATGTCGACTCAATATATCCCGGTGAACTTGAAATAAAAGATACAAGAGAGTCTGACACATTTGTTTCATATTGGAATATTTTATAAGAAAAGTACGTTAATGGTTACCTATAAACAAAATTTTATGATGAACGTGATGACTTCAACTTTTCTATCGTCATCTTCCCTTACTTTTGTAGCAATATACCCTTATTATCTGCATATGGGGTTTATGTCTCCCAGTTGATTCGATATGCAAGAGTATGCTATTTCTAAAACGAACTATTTCTAAAACGAGGTAAGCTATTGACAAACAAGTTGATAAAACAATAATATCAACAGTCTTGTTTAAAGTCATCATTTCGCAAGGTTCTATGGTTGATACAAGGACCTTGTCAGCAAATACAATCTATCATTAAGTCAAATGCTGAATGATGTTTTTCATACTGATTGTAAGGCCATTATTTATTATTTACATATTGAATTAATAAAGGTTTTTTCAGTTTTTCCTGATCATGATAATGAACTCACAGCGGGTGTGCAGGAGATGCTTACTCCTCCATGGCACCTGATCCCACCTCTGATGTTTAAGGGATCTGTGTTTGCTCTGCTCCTAATTTGTATTGATTAAATGGACTTTTTTGCTTGATTACTGTTAGATATATCAGAAAATTTCATCAAAACTATAAACGTTAGGCCTATATAAAATACATGTATATACGTTATTTCACGCTCGCTCAGGCTATATAAAGTATATTGGCCACTTTACTCATTGCACGTTTGCGCACCTTTGACCTTTGTTCTGCAAATCTAAACAACATGCCTATAAACCCTAAAAAGATTTCACCTCAATCAGATGAGTAGTTTTCAAAATCACTCGTGGACAAAACATAACCAAGAAGAAGAAGAAACATAACTAGAAACCTTGTTCCAGTCATGGCAACAAGGTAAAAACTCAATCTAATAACTCCGCTAAAATGCGTGAACTTGAAACTTGTTTGCACATCTGCAACCTAAACTTAAATTTATAACAAAATCAATATTGAAATACCCTGATGATCCATTACAAGGCTGAGATAAAAATCATGCCAATGGGACTAAAATTGGAATTTCGAAATTTCATGTATCATGTATAAGGCTTGCCTAGTAACAAGAAATATAATTCTTGGCTAAAAGGTTTTATAAGATCCAATGGTAATGAGGCAAGACAAAAGGATACACTAACAGACATTCCAATATAAACAGACTTTAGGTGTAGTAAAAGTCCTCAATCCAATCATAAATGCGCGTTGCAAGAGTTATAGCATTATGTAAATTGAAATTTAAAAAAAGCCACCATATCTTTGTAGATCTGCACGTCTATTGATTTATATACATTAAGCGTACCAAAACTAAGATATAATGAATTAATTAAGTTTTCTGTTTTTTTTTTTGGGGGGGGGGGGAGGGCGGGGGGGGGGGCACATATGATTATTTTTTGTTTTGCTTTCAGTCCCTTCTAGATTTTTTTTCACTCATATTTCACTCATTTTTCACTCACTTGCCGTTGGAGGGCTACAAATTTAGAACTGTACTCGGCACTTACGGCCTTTGAGCAGTGGGGGATCTTTTTTCTTGCCAGCACCTATTGCAACACAGGATCTCGATTTATACGGTCTCGTCCCAAGAACAGGTCTCCACCTCCCGCAAAAGGATTCGAATCTTACTATATATGACACTTCAAAGTTAAATCATCATTATTAAAAATGGACCAGTGAAATTATTTATTAGTTTTTATATCTAGATATATCTGTACATCATCTACTACCAGATCATAATCACTTAATGAGTTAGTCATGTTGTTTGACTGTGAGATAGTCCTTTCTCTTTATGTATCTATATACATCCACTCTTTTGTTATAATCTCTTATTCCAACCAAGAGAAGCTGATTTTTGTTGTCATAAGCCAGACTTCCTAATACATTTTTCTTGTTTATTTTTGGAAGAGTGATAAGAAGTGACCGACCGTCTTTGTCAATTATTTGAACTGTTTTGCTTTTAGTATCAGACACCAGGATGTGTGACAGTGCGTCTACACAGATTCCTAGTGGTGATAGTCGTGATCCTGATGTAGGTCCTGTGTAGGAGAAGTGATGACTTCCTCCACGTTCTGTCACCACAATACCACTGATCAAGTCAGAAACAATAACATCTTTATTAGCTTTAGGTTCTCTGTAATATATTGAGGATATGTATATAGTTTCTAACCCGTGTTATTTCGTTCAATGGCCTGAATGTGTTTCCCTATACTATTATACCGCATTACCATGGCCTTTTTGTATAACTCTTTATCAATATCACCTCCTATCGGCGCTGCAACACTAACTAATGTGATTCTGGATGCATTGGTAAGGATGAACATTTCCTTTAGCAAGTGCCTTGGACAGTGCTACGATGGAGCCAGCAATATGTCCGGAGCCAAAAAGGGTGTGGCTGCTACATCATCAGTAAAGAGACTAGAACTATCTACACGCACTGTTATGGACATGCGCTCAAGCTGGCAGTTGATGATAGAGTGGAAAGGTCAGAGGTGATGCGTAATTCCTTATATACTGTGTTTGAAATGTCCAAACTCGTAAAGTATTCGCCTAGGAGGGATACCATATTGCAACAGCTAAAGCGTGAGATGCACCTGATACGCCGGGATTCCGTGTGTTATGCCCCACTCGATGGACTGTTGGAGCTGCCAGTTTGAACAGCGTTCTAGAAAACTACTTTATCCTTCAGTCCTTGTGGGAGACCTGAGTGCACAAAGGATTCTGAAACCTGTTTCATGATCATTGGAGTGAAAACTCAAATGCAAAGTTTTTATTTTCTCTTTGGTGTGTCCCTTGGATATGAGATTCTCTGTCACACAGACAATCTAAGCCGAACGCTACAGAAGAAAGACCTATCAGCTGCTGAGGGCCAACACATGACAGAACTTTCCTTGACATCACTCGGTGAAATCACATGACAGAACTTTCATTGACATCACTCGGTGAAATGCGTAAGGAAGAGTCCTTCAACGCATAATGGGAATCACTCAACAAAAAACTTGATGATTTGGAGGTCAAAGAGACAACATTGCCACGACAAAGAAAAATGCCTAAGCGATTTGAAACTGGAAAGGCCCCTCCATAATTCGCAATATCAGAGAAAGACCTCTACAGACAGCACTATTTCTAAGCTCTAGATCTTGTGGTGAACTGTGTCAAGGGTCGTTTTGATCAGCCAGGTTATCAAGTGTATCGCCATCTAGAGGACGTTCTTCTGAAGTCTGTGCGTGGCGACAAGACATACAAAGAAAATGTAGACTTTGTCTTAGAGTTCTATGGTGATGATCTGGATAGGACTTCTCTCTTCACATTTTACTGGATACTTTCACGAAACAACTTAAATGATTCATCCACTGTGTCCTTTTCCTTTTTGGTGACCTTAGTGTCTCAGATGTCCCCAGCTTCCAGATGCCTATTCTCCGAGATTGTGACTCTACTGAGACTTATTTTAGTGATGCCAGCCACTAATGATACAAGTGAGCGAACATTTTCTGCTCTGCGCCAAGTAAAGACTTATCTTCGTTCTACTATGTCACAGGAAAGGCTGAATCATTTGATGATCCTGCACACGCACAGGGAGGCTACGGATGCATTGAACATTTTGGCAGTTGCCAATGACTTTGTATCAGCAGGGGATGGACGGAGATTCATTTTTGGACGCTTCTAAAGTACAGTATCATTGTGTATTATTTAATGAACAGAGTTTTATTTGTCTCATTTGCATAGCTTGTTTATAAGTGCTTTTTAAATGATTAAATTAAAGATAAGTATACATGTATATCACACTGAAATTTATACAACTACGTGCTCCTCAAATGTACTTATGACATAAAATGTAAATGAAATCACATAGAACTATTTTTTTCATCAGGCAGAGTCTTTAAGACATTGACAGAATGGAAAAATATCAATCATGAATGAATATCAATATTCTGATAGAAATTTGGATTTAAGTAAACACACGTTAATTACCCCCCCCCCCTTTTCGACCCAGTTCTCCTCCCCAATTTCAAATATTTGCCAATGCCCCTGCTCCTCTCATACCAACCAGTAGATCTTCATTAGAAGGAGAAAAATACACACACTTTGATTTCCATGGTTCTGTTTTCTTTATGAGCGTATTTAGTGTTTAGTGAACATGACCCAAAACCAATTACTTACTTACCAGGAACATTGCTTATTTTATGAATCCAATCTCATTACATTTACTCCAATAATAAATTTGAATTTGACACAGTGTTGCAAATCGGCAATCTTAATTCAAGCTCAAAAAAATTCTTTTCTTTTTTTTAAATATCCAAACCTTCCATTGCAAGACAGAGATAAATCATGCTAATGGGACCCAAAATTGGAATTCAATTTTAAAATAACATCTATTATCTACTATGCTTGCCCATTGACATGAAAGATGATACTTTGCTTTTAGTAAGAATGTAGAATATCCAACGACAGAGAGACAGACAGAAAGGATACACTCACAGAAATTACAATAGAATCAGTCATTATTTAGAAAGTACAGGTATAACATTTTCTTGCATCTATGAAATAAAAAAAAAAAACGCCAAGGTAAAAACTTTTTGAAGCTTAATGGAGTTTCTTTTTATTTTCTTTAATGTTTTTTAATCTTTTATGATGATAACGAGTTTATTTCATAAACTATATTCACAACATCCTAAATATAATCAGGGTTGTAACATAGATATAAAACAAAAATATCAATAAAAACAACCCACCATAACCCTGTTGATCTGTTTGTCTGTATTTCAATATATCTGTAACATTTAAAAAATACTTTAATTTTCTCACTTTAATGATTTTGATTTTTTAAAGTTAAATCTACATTATTGTTTACAATGACCAATGAAATAATATTTGTCTAAATGTATCTGTACATCCACTACCAAATCATATACACTTGTGAGCTAGTCAGTAACATTTTCTGTGGATCGTCCTTTCTCTGTATACACATTTGTGAACTAGTCATGTTGATCGTGTGTGAGATAGTCCTTTCTCTGTATGTATCTGTATACACATACTCTGCTGTTATGGTCTGTTGCTCCTACCAAGAGAAGGTGATTTCTGCTGTCATAGTCCAGACCCCCTGATACATGTATCTTGTTTATTTTGGTGAAGAGTGATAAGAAGTGACCGTCTTTGTCAATCATTTGAACTGTTTTGCTTTTTGCATCAGACACCAAGATGTGTGACAGTGCGTCTACACAGATTCCTAGTGGTGATAGTCGTGATCCTGAAGGAGGTCCTGTGTAGGAGAAGCGATGTTTTCCTCCACGCTCTGTCACCACAATACCACTGAACAAGTCAGACACAATAACATCTCCATTATGGTTCTCCGTGATGTATTTAGGAAATTTGTACAGTTTCTGACCTGTGTTATCGTGTTCAATGACCTGAATGTGTTGTCCTTTACTATTATACCGCATTACCTTGGAATCTGTATATATATTTTTATCATTATCATAACTCATTATCGCAACTAGTAGATCTCCATTAGACGGAGAAGAGTACACACACTCTGCTTTCCATGGGTCTGTGTTCTTTATAACAGTATTTACCATTGTGTTGTCTGTAGACAATTTGTTGATGTTATTGGATCTGTCAATATAAATAAGATTCCCCTCACGAGTTACGGAGTGTCCTCCAGTATAACTTATTGTATTTGTAACACTATGTAGAGGGGCACCTGTTGTGTTTGTCAAGATGATACGTCCATAGGCGTCACTGATCCATGCCAGGTCTCTTGTAACACAGGAAATGTGACGAACCACCATAGCACCTATCACTGTGTAAGATTTCTGTAACACAGGTGTATGCATCAGTTCCAGCAGCTGTTCATTGCTTACGTGTCTTTTACTTGTCTCTGTGATTTGGATTACTCCTATTGACTTAATTATATCCACCATGTTGATTCTACTATTTATGGAGAAGGAAAAGGTATCAGGAATGATCGTGACCCTTGGGATAGGAGTTTTCTTTAGACATATAAGGAATTGTACAGGCTTGTCTAATAACTGTTCTAATTTGTATAAAAACATTTCTTTTCTGGTAATGTTTTTCTTTGGTTTTTGTAATCTAGATTTCAGTAACAGTTTACACTTTTTTAATTCATTCATATCATTCACTACTAAATCAACCAGATTCTTCAGTTTCAAAGTTCTTTTTGTCATGCTTCGCTGTAGGCCAGATAATTTTGACTGACAAATTTCCCCACCCCTTTTAATATCGGATTTAATTCTTGTAAGAATAGAAAGATTATTCAAGATAATATCAGTTCTTATGTGAACGATTCTGTCTCTGTGTTGGTGTCTGTATATTTCATAAACTGGAACAATATCAAAGATGCCATGATATCCGTGTTCATCACAGTCAGGGCAGATTGGAAATTCACATGAAAAACACCAGTTGTCTAAGTACATGTCTTGGTGGCTTTCACAAAACTCTGATATCTTGAAGTCGCCATACTTTAAACGGTCAATTACTACATCGTGGTATCTGGTGTCTAGGTCTATCAAATGTTTCTCCTTACAAAGAACACATAGATCTTCTTTACATGTTTTGCAGTAGTATTCTACGTCCCCTTTACACCGAGAACACTGGGGAATTTTCAGCTCCGTGTAGACATGTGTGTCCATTATTACCATAATATGTGCTTCTGGTTTATTGCGTTTTTGAATTTTTTCTCTTTAATTTGTATTGTTCTTACAGTGCAATCTAGATAAATATAAAAATCAAAAATTAGTTTTTGTTAATTTTTTTTAATAGATTGTAGATAAAATTATGCTGATAATATTAAATTTATTGTTTGATTATCAACATGACAGAACTTTTGACAATGATTCATAGACTATATATGTTTTACAAGAAAATAAGTAGGCAACACTATGTCGTCGGATACGTACATAAATGAATTTATCATTTTTCTATATTGTTGCCAGCTATCTGATTGGCTCAAACTAGATCACATGATCAAGCATAAAAAGTCTTATAAATTGGGTGTTTCTATTTTAAGCTTCAAAATTTTTTTCATAAACCAGTTGTTTCTAAAATTGAAAACGTTCTTCTGTGAAGCTACAATAGTGCTGACATCACAATAGTCTTTATAAACTGAATGTTTCTAAATACAGATACTGCAGCTACTATTCGTAACTGTGACGTCATGATGGAATGACATAACAATGCCTTATATGAGAAAGTATTGAGTATTAGAAGCATGGAATTTAACACATTTCTTATTAAGTGATAAAAAAAATAAAACTATTAAAGCCTTTTGATTTTGTATTTCGTGCTCGGTCGATATGTTTTCTTTAAGGTCTATATATCTAGGGATTGGCCTCATCAAAATGCTATAATAGTATATTGCTAATTACTGAAATTAAGTGTTCTTAGTGATATATATGCATGTGCAAAAAATAAAGAATAGTGTATGTTTTAATATAGTCTACATTTTTCCAAAGAAGGATTGAAACACCATAACCTCTATTTTGGATCTTTTTGCGATTCTTTTATCAATGCAAGTTGTAAAGAAAAGACTCCAAAATATTTTACAAGCAATAGCAAGATGTACATTATTATACATTGTTATATTAGGTAGAATATTTCTACAAAAGCAATGCCTTGCTCTCCTTAATCAAAACTGAAGCAACGATACATTAGTGTCATCGTCCGGAATTTGACATCTACCCGGAGTGGTTTTAGGTTACAAACCGGTCATCAATATAAATAGGAAGCAGGGATATCAATAAGTCTCTCTCTCTTTCTCTCTTTAAAAAAATTGAAAATGTGAATAATATCAGTTTAGCATTATCATGCGTTGAAAAAGCGTGATTCTGGCTATTTAAGAAATCTTCGAATCCAGGATTTTTAGAAGATTTACCTTGAAAACAAAATTAATTCAAATATCTATCGAGAACATGACGTTAAGATATTGGTGATTTATATTATGGAAATTAAAGAAATATACATTTTAAATACAGTGGACCTTCAGATATTCGGATGCCAGATATCCGGAAGTTCAGATTCCGGACGATTTTTCTTGGAAACGGAATTCTTTAACGTGATTTTGTCTCGTTTATCCGAAATTCCGTGTTCCGTATCCGGAGGTCTTTTTTCACCACAAAATGAATTTTTACGTTATATTTTGGTTCATTTATCCGGACGGTATTTTTTTAATTTTCTGTCAACTCTGCTCTAATTTCTTGAGCTGGGTGTAAATTGTTGTAAAACCACTGGCCTGGCTGTTTGTTTTAAAAGATGATCACCGTCGACCTGATATCAATGGCTCGGGGCAAGGTCAATTATAGGTCGATAGGTACGCACGAGACTCGCTTCTCCAACATGTATTTGATAATTAACGGAAATAATTTTATGTCTATAATTTTTCCGTAGTCGGCAAATATATTTCTTTTACTGTTAGAGTTCAGTCGTAACATGGTTTTATGTATTGCATTTGCTACTTACAGACATGACATCGGAGTTGTTTATGTATAGTGTTTAATACGCAAAACGGATTCTGTAATTTGATGACATTTATTTTATAAAATCACTTTCAAAATTACACAATGGTTATGCGATCTCGCTTGGGATGATTATGATAAGCTTACAATAACATGTGCAGTTAATTTCACATTTAGCATTGATTGGCGTTCATATTAAATAAGACTCTACCGACAGTACGTTTTCTTTCTCTGTCAGTTCTATAGGCACTTGGCTAGGAGAAGTTGATTTATTAGACACTGGGAAGTAGAAATAATTAATGTTACCATATAAACAACGTTTCATCCAATGAAAATGTACTTTTATTTTATTTAAACAAGTATTGAGTAGTACTAACGTTACAATATACATTTATTGACTGGGTGAGAGATCAACATGCGTTTTGTCGGACCCAAGAATCTTTTTGCCTGAGGCCGTTAGGCCAAAGGCAAACAGTTTTGTTCGAGGGGTCGACAAAACGCATTTTGCTTGAGAACACAGTCAATAAATGTTCTTTTTTTACACCTTTTATTTATTTATTTTGTTATTATTTTTTTGACATACATGTATGTCGAACATACATACATGTATGTCGAACACCAACGAATGCAAATGAGATTTAGCTGACCTCGCCCATTATGTGACGTAAGCGGTCCAACATCTCATCGACAGGTCCAATATCTTACTCCGCGGTCAAACATCGATTTTTTTTATGCCCGCTCAGTAAAACAGTTGAAATGTTTGACTTTTATTAGTATTGAATTATATAGGAACACAGTTTTAAAGGTATAACAATATCAAAGTATTTACACAATAAAACATATTGATATAAAGCAGCATTCTTCACTATTGCCAATCATATGAAAGGCCATATAACTAAAATCAAGGCAATTCAGATATCCGGACGCTCCATTTATGAGGACGATTTGACTGGGAACCAAAGCGTCCGTATAAATGAGGTTCCACTACATACATTTTAAACTTAAATTTACGGCTTCTTTTGGAACTCTTCAGTCCACTTTTTTTTTTGGGGGGGGGGGGGGACTGAACAATCCTGTAGGAAGAATAGCGTTTATAAAATTTTACATCTCATTTTCATTTGATAATCGAAGACAACACCGTCCATCAAAATAAAGATTATATGGCCTCTTTACCATTAAACAGACTAAGAAAACTTCGAAATGAAACTCAAAATGCTTAGAAAAAGGCACTCTGGTGATACAGTCTATGGTTGTATAGATCTGCCATAACTTGCACTGAGAGATATTTATGTCAATTTGTCATTTATGTATGTCGTGTTGTTATATATTTCTCGGTTTGTCAGATTTTGTCTCCTATTGACATGCCAAAAAATTCAACATGTCTATGGCCAGTGTGTGTCATCCATATGACAAGTCGACATATTAAACATCTGAAAATTGAACATAATTATCTGAAAAATTGAAATCATTTCTAGCAAATCGTCACCATTATCTGACAAATCAACATAAATATCTGTCAAATATAGGCATCTGATAAGACGAAAATACATCCGACAGGTTAACCTTAGTTTCTGAAAAGTCGTTATAACATTTTGTTAGTCGACAAAAGAAATAATGTCGAGCTTTCAGATAAATATTTCGACTTGTCAAATAATTATCAGGTAAGTCATTTTTTCAGATAGTTACATGTATTTTGACTTTTCATATAACAGCAATTTCCAAGATAATTATATCAACTTGTTAAAAATTTTGCTTATTTATCAGATATAATCATGACAAGTTGTTATCAGTTAGTGGGATTTAAACACCTTATATTTCTAATCATGATAATTATTATTATTTGACAAAGTGATATAAACATCTGACAAGTTGACATTAATATCTGCCAGGTCAACATAAGTATGCAGGTAGCTGAGAAATCCACTGAAACATCTGAAAAATTGACATAAACATTTGACAAGTCGACATAAACATCTGACAGAATACGCCACGACAGCCATTTAAAAAAATACTTCATACTGCTAACCTGGTTTTTTTTAATTTTGGCCGATATCCAGATTTTACTAAAGTATTGAATGTTCCGTGTGAAGAACAGGAAATAGGGGTTCAACCCACCAATCCTTGCTGTAAGGAAATATACGGAATCCCTCACCACCTTTCCCTTGCATTGAATTATACAGAAGATATCCCCTCACACTATATATAGAGAGTAATGAAGGATAACCGATAAGTAGGTCACATGGGTCACTGGTCATTTAAATTACTTGCGTGCGATCGCTAAGGTGGAATATTCAGCTGTAGGTATGGGGTCACAGCAGACTTCACACTGACCAACGATCTATTGTACAAAGCCTTTTCAAATCCGGAATTTAAAGTTTGCATTCTACATGTTCTATTTAAAGATATTTGATTAGTAAGGATCTATTTGTTACCTACACACTAAAACATGATCAAGGAGTTTGTTACAAAGTTATTAATAATAAATATAAAAATTATCGTTTGGTTTCATTCTTCAAATGAAGAAGGAACTGGAAGGGACACTAAAAAGTATCTATCTTGATGTGAAAAATTCTCATCAGCTACTCAGGTCCAGCAAAAAAAAATTCATTACTTGAGGAAGGAAGGGAAATGTAAAGAAGATTGGATACTTTGTTATTAAACAATGGCTATACGAAATATATATGTCTACAGCTTTTATAAATTTAAGACGATCGAACTAGGTTATTTCCCAAGATATAGATTTCCCTTGGGATGTAGATTCAGCCGACGTGTCTGCACTCTCAGAAAACAATGATGATTAAAA